ATGTTCAAAATATGCCGTGAAATAAATCAAATGGCGGAAAAAAAAAAAACCCAAACTTTTTACCTGATTTTGTGAACCGAAGCCTTCAATCTCCAAAAAACTCTGTTTTTTTCAACGAATATCACAAATTAATAACAAAAGGTTTTGATTCACGGCTTTACGATCAAAATGCCTACAAATTTTGAAAGATTCATGCCCTATTTGGCATGAAACTTTCAGAAAAGGCGGAAACCCTAGAAAAGCAAGTTTCGTGATGCAAAAACACCAAATTTTTCAACCATTTAATCCTTGAAAAAGCTGAATAAAGCTGTTTACAGCCTGCAAATTAGATCACATGCCAAAAAAAACAAGAAAAATGATCAAAAAATGACAAATTTCAAAGAATCCCGTGAAGAACACTGTGCAACCCGTGTTCTTCACGGACTCGCCGATTCCTCACAGTGACTCGGTGAGTCACTGTGCAGAATCGTCCGGTTCTCTCTAGAACCGAACGATTTCCGATTTTTTAACCGATTCGATCCATTTTTTACGATTTTCGAGTCGAACCGGACGTTTTTTAAAACAATGGGTTTTAGTAATTTTTCCAAAAGTTTTTTAAGGGAGGATGTTAAAGAAAGCTGAGTCAAAGAGGGGGTTTTAGTAATTTTTCCATTATTATATGGGATATAAAAGCTGAGTCAGATAGGGAGGTTTTAGTAATTTTCCCATTATCATATGGGATATAGTGTAAGCGACTTTGGCCTCGTTTGACTCACACGCGCTTGCATATGAGGAAGGCTTCAAAAGCTGGTATCCTTTCTAGAAGAGTTTTTTATTGGGCAGCATCAATTTATTATTGCTTCCAATAATTTATTTGTGTAACATGTTATTATTTTTTCAATCTGAAATTCAAGGAAGCAACTATAAGAATACTTAGGTGATTATTTTTAAAATAATTTCGCAATATTATTTTTTCAAGTATATAGAGCTGACGTAGATTATTTTTTTGAAAGTAGTCCACCGGGGTTCAAGAAGTTACGTTTCCAAACTTTGAGATACCAAATGAGGTTTTAATGAATACCGAGTGTCCATTGAATGGTTAACGTCCAATTTTAATTGCTGGTGTTCTTGGGCATATTATGGTGTCACTAATTACATTTAATGCATTCTATAAGGGTTAAAACTAAGAAGTACCGATATTTGTACAGGGTGCAGTTTGTATGGAGCCAAGTGTTTTCAAATAGTATCGTCAAATGTGGTTTCAATATTGGAAAGTTTTGTAACAGTAAAATATGTTTTCATCTTTAATTATAATTTTTATAATTTAAAAAATACCCTAGATCGTGCGGATCAATAAAAACTTAAAAATCTAATCTAAAAAATTGACAGTCAAAAAATGCGTTTCAAGATGCATTACTTTTAAAACTTGAAATCTTTTTTTTTTATGTCCATGTATTTAGATGGAAATATGATTAATTTAAAAATATTTAACATCAAAAATAACTTTTTTTAGTAAAATTTTTAATGTAGACTCCAATTTGATTGTTTAGAGCGTCGGCTCTATACGATCTTTTTCCATTTATAAGAAAAGGATGGCGGCGATCAACATTCGCATGGATCCGGCACGCAACCGCGTGTTGAACGAGCGTAGCTGCCCTTACGCTCCGCTGCTGCTCCATCCCAACAAAATTATCCTCTCTCTCTCTCTCACTCTGTGGCTTTCTCTCTCTTGACGGTGACTCACGATATTTGTCTCAAAAATATATTCCTTAGTCCTTACTAAATCTGACAATAGTCACAATACCCTTCTTTCCCCACATAATAATTTTTAAATATTGCCTCTCCTTTCCTTTGTCATCCTATTTATCCAAGGCCAATATGTTGAACAAGTTTATTTATTAGGTTAGAAAATTCATTAGGGTTATTTTAGGAGATGGTATATAATGAATACATTTACTTTTGATACAGGTAGGTCACAATTATTTACAATCATCCGATGTAAAATTTAATAGTTTAAAAGTGTCACAAAGTTTCAAATTTTTTTTATTGTGTTGTACTTGGTCGGCACCAAACATGATCAGCTCACCTAAAGTCTATTCTCTCTCATTTTATTGTCTATTGGTGTCATACTTAAATTTCCCATTATAATCTTATTTATGAATTGATTTGAAGTTTCTATGTACTCCAGTGTCCAAAATCAAATATCAACTTGAAAATATCATTATTTTTGTCAATAAAAAAAAAGATTGTATACTATGTAGCCATTTATCTTTGTTCCAAAGGGGTCCTAGTTACTACAAGTCATTAGATATCAATTAAATTGCTTGAGGTGTGTCATAAAGTGCGAGAAAATCTTATTTGAAATGTGAGTATAGTCAATGACATACTAATAAACCACCTGATCTGAAATTTGACAGATGGGAGAGATTATGATCTCCTTGTATTAAAAGTAAACGGTCTTTTTGTATACTTTGTTTAAAAATAAATTGACCAAAGTTTACTTCTATTTTTAGGGGCTATTTTGTCATATTATTTCTTTCAAATAACTTTTCTGGTTTTTTTTTAGATGTGTAATAATGAATAGAATAGACATCCTAAATTTGATCTTGACTGGATTTAGAAAAAAATAAAAGACATATATGAAAGTTAAAAGATTTCCCACTTTGATGGGAGTATACTATCATTTACACCTCAAGTATAACACATGTTGGGAATACCTTTTATATCTCAAATTTCGAAACTAATCTCAATAAAAACGTTTTCAAAATAAACTCTCTATGTACTAAAAAATAAAAAATAATGCCTGAAGATTGAATATAGATCATCCAATTTTTAAAGCGCTTGTTTAAGTGCTATAAACTAAAAATTTGAGATTTTTCCTTTTAAAAATGGTAATTGATAGATCTTATTGTGGTTCCCAAAATTTTAGACTAAAATTATCTTTCTAAATTGGTGTTTTGTAAGGGGGAGCACGCATATTGTATGTGTGAAATATGATAAACGTTTTTAAATTCCACAAAATATAGTATTATTTAAGGAATTTATTTTTCTAAATAAAAATGGTTGTGGTTTGCATAAGGTTGCAACCTTCAATGATTAAATTAAAGTATAACTCAACCTTTGTCTTAAGATGTAATTTTGAAATTAAAAATCTTTAGGATAGCATGATAATTTATTTTTATCTCTAATTATAAAATTTTGAATTCCAAAAACGATTCAAAACATGTAGATCTTAAACACATGAAAGTCCTTCCAAATAATGTTACAAGATATATTATTTTTAAGATTAAAATCTATTTTTTTCTATGTCTATACATCTAGACGTCAAGATGATCAATTTGATATTTTTTCTAACATCACAACAGCCATTTTTTGAAGGATTTTGGAAGTGTACCTTAAATATGCATTTTTTTTCGTAATTAAGGGTAATAAAGGGTCCGGTAGGCATTCAGAAAATCGTTAGGGGTAAACAAAAACTATCAATTAATGAGTAGCTCAGTTATTGGGAACGTGCTCTGAAACTCCCATTGTCAACTGACCGCGTTGTCCTCCCGTTATAAACACCCTTCCAGTCTCCATTTCCTTCATCGTCTCTCTTTCTCTCTCTAGAAGATAGACTTCCAACTCTGTTTCTTCGGTTTTCCTGTATTTAAACCTCTTACCAGTCCCGTTATCATCAAAACCCATATCTTCATTTCTCCCCAATCCTTCATCACACCATCTTTCTCTCTCTAACTCCCTGATCAAACCGATCTTTCTCTCACCATCTCTTCACCATGTTTCGTTTGAGCAATAACCTGATTGGGATCCTGAACTTCATCACCTTCCTCCTCTCAATCCCCATTCTTGGGGGTGGGATATGGCTTAGCCACAGGGCTAGCACTGACTGTGAAAAGTTTTTGGATGGCCCTATCATAGCTTTGGGAGTTTTTCTCATGGTGGTTTCTCTTGCTGGTCTTGTTGGATCTTGCTGTAAAGTCACATGGCTTCTGTGGTTCTATCTTCTGGTTATGTTCTTGCTCATCGTTCTCCTCTTTTGCTTCACCATTTTCGCTTTCGTGGTGACAAACAAAGGCGTAGGAGAAGTGGTTTCAGGGAAAGGTTACAAGGAGTATAAGCTTGGAGATTACTCGAATTGGTTGCAGAAGAGAGTGAGCAATACCAAGAACTGGAACAAGATCAAGAGTTGCTTGAGTGATGCGAAGGTTTGCAAGAGCCTTGCAGAGGATGAAAAGAACGAGCCTGAAGCCATTTTCTATGCTAAGCATCTCTCTCCGATTCAGGTTTGTTTTCAACTTTTCATGGAAATTATGACTCATTTGGTTTCTAATTTTGGGGGTTTATTGATTTGGTGGGTTGGATCTGGGGGTTTGAGTTTCATGTGTTTGATTCTAGGGTTCGATGAATTTCTCGGTGGCTTAGACTTGGATTTTTTTTTTTTTATGGTTTGATTTTAGGGTCTGATGAATTTTTTGATTTTGGGTTGTTTTAATTTTTTCTCTCTATATGAAACTCTCTCTCTCTCTC